TGTTGAGGTGAGGATAAGGTGTGAGGGGGGTTTGTGTGTGTGTGGTGTGGAGATGGGGGGGAGGGGGGGGGGGTTGTGTGTGTGTGTGGTGGAGCGTGTGGTGGAGGCGTTGTGTGTGTGGAGGTGCGGACCGGGGGTTGTGATGAATATAATAATTCTTCCATTTATGTGTGTGTCTTTGTTGGTTCATTGCCGTCATCATTTTATTGTGTATGTGGGATGTATGATAAGACATTATTTGCCAAGTTTTCAATGGCAGNTGTATGTTTTCTATTGTACCGTAGGCTGAATGTTGGCCAAAAAAGCCAATATGTGTAGTAACTATGGTTCTTCCTTGCTTTACTTGTACCCCCAATACCTTGCTCCTTGTTGTCGTGGTGAGGCTTAGGAGACGGAGACTGAGGCCTAAAATAAGGATTACCCCAACCTTGGGCCTCAGCCCTCATCTCAAACTAATTTTGCATGATCATATCTTCCCCTTTCCATTTCCTTCTCTTCTTCATCCCTTCTTCTGTCCACTTTCTAAGGTGTGAGAGCTTTACTAAAAGGATGAAAGGCTGGCTTTGTGTCAGACCTGAACTCCTCCAGGAGCCATGGATACCATATCGCCTTGGTTAATTGCCTAGCCCTTACCCCTTATTGGGACCCTGAGGGGTGGACCATTTCTTTTCCTCACTTATATCAGGCTTACCATGGCCAGTAATTAAGATTTTTTTATAGTTATAAGGGGCATTAAAGCTAGCCCCTTCAAGAACTAGCCTATCTTTCCTTTGACCATGGCCCCGACCACTGATACTGATACACCCTCTTCGATGTTTACTGACAACTCTCTCCATTCTGAGTCATTTACCAAGGTCATTACTCAGCCTTCAGAATGCACCCCTTCCTCTCCCAACATCCTCCATTCCATGTCTTACTGCCTAGTCTTCTTCATTGTCTACCCCCTACCCCCTTGTTACTATTCTTCATCCTTAATCTGAAACTTTTTTGATTTCCTCTACAGCCACTTTACGCTTCTCTTCCAACAATATCTCCAAAAACTATTAGGCAAAGTTTCTTTTCACAGTTTTTCCGATCATTGACGCCTTGTCACATTTACATCTGAGTCCCAAGCTCATGCACTATCTACCCTGACTGACCTCACTGGCAAACCTATGACTGCTGACCTCACTCCTCTCTTAATACTTTAACCGGAACTGTTTCCATCTCCGTGACTGATTGTCCTATCTGTGATAAGAACTGGTCAGATTTTGAAAAGATCTACTTACCTACCATATTGACTATGATGCAATGGTAGTACAATGCTACACTATTCCACCCAGAGGCCAGGATAAGTCTTACACCAATTTTGCCAAGATTAGCTTCTGTAGACATGACTTCCCCCGTGAATTTTATATTAGTCCTGTATGACCATATCGACCCCTTCCTTATCAATGTCAGAAATGTTAGCATTTTGGCCACCCAGCCAAACAGTCACTCCACAGCCTGCTGCCCTCTATGTGCCCAATCTGGTCATGATCATTCAAATTACCCTACTTAGTCACATATGTGTGCCGATTGTGTTGGCTCCCATAATGTATTTTATAGGAGCTGTATTTTATAGCATTCTCATATTCACACTAGACCTCAGTACATGAGGCCAGAAAGGAAGTACAATGGCCAGGTTTTTTTCTCTCTACCCATTCCAAAACTTATTTGCTCTGTTCCCCTCCTATCTTAAGATGTTTCTACATCTCCGACAGTCAAATTCCATTTTTAGTCTAAATCCAGATACTTCAAACTATACCACTTCTCTGATGCATATCTCTCCTCACTTTACCTGTGGCAGTGACAACCTAAATGTTCACTCCATCTTCGCATACCACATCCTCTCCAACACCCTCTTCTTCCTCTGCTTCTCGAACATTTATCCCATCTTCTCCTCCTCACAAGAGAAAGTTTGTGTGACAGACCTCCTCCAGAAATTTTTGAACACATCCAAAAATTCCCAAATATGACCCAAGAGAATGCTCCATTCCCTCATCCACCCTCCAATCCCTCTCGTCCTATTCCCTGTACATTCATAGTATTTGCCAATATCCATCTTCCTCCTCCTCAAGTTCCCCCTACCCCTCTTCCTCCCACTCTTTCCCAGCACACTCCATCCTCTCCTTCTTCATGTGTACCATTCCTCTTTCGTTCCCCATTATCCATACCTCTCCCGCGTGAGTCCCTTCTGTTCCAACAGTGTCCTACTCCGGATCCCTCCCATCCTGACGCTCTTTCTGATACTTCACCACCTTCCCCAGTCCCCTCATCTCATTCCCCAGATTTTGCTCCTCTTACTTCTCCAACAGCCATCTCTAATCATATTACCTGTTGATTGTTTCATAACAGCTCTTTTCCTTAAACAATATTCCTTTTTCTACCCCAGCCAAAGATACACTCCATTTCATCCAATTGCTCTATGCCCTTAACCCTTTTCACTACCATACTATCCTTGAACACTTAGCCACAATAGGTATCATTCGCAAGTGCAAGAAGATCCATGAAGATGACATTACTCTTTTATTCTGCCTCATTTTGAGTATTGTTCTCCTGTGTGGTTATCTACTTCATAGTCACACTGAAGACTGCTTTTTCGTTCTCTTAATTCCATTAAATTTTTTCTGTCTGACTTAAATTTGGACATTGGACATCGTACAATTATTGGGGCTCTTTCAGTCATATACAAGATTGTAAACGAAAACTCACATCCCCTCTACAAGTTTTTACCTGATATTTATCAACTTGCAAGAGTTACCAGAAGTTCTATGACCCTCAATTCAATGACATTTGATGTAAGTCGATCATTTACAAGTCAAGTTTTCTAGATGCTTTTTTACTGCCATTTGTAGGCTTTGGAATATATTGCCTTCAGAGATTGTAACTTCTCCAACGCTTGATAAGTTTAAAAGATTAGCGATCACGGTTTTCTTACATAATTAGCTGACTTCCTATCTTCTCATTCTTTCTTAGCTGTATCTTAACCATAGTGCTATATGAAATTTGATATCTAGCTCATTTATTTATTTCAAGTGTTAACCATTAACCATTGCCTTACCATCACAGATTTTGGGCAGGTGTAAGTGGTTTTG